TTGACGTTTACTACGTCTTGGATTTTTCTCATTAAACGTACTTTCCTTTGCTTCTTCCCGAGCTCGCTTAGATTTTCATTAGACGACTCACATTCCATTTTATACGGATAAATATTCTCAAAAAATTCAGCATTATCCGATTCAATTACCGTATTAATGTGAATGTCGGGATTTTCTGATTTATGAACCAGAAACCGATATGCCTTACTATTTGTTGCATATCCTACGAAAACGCAATCAACGGTTTTTGGTCCAATTTTTACTCTTTTGGGTTTAGGAACTTGCACTTTAGCCAAACACCCCCACACTTTAAAATATTTTAAGTTGGGTTTCCTTCCTTTCCATATTTCATATGGAATGGATTGTGTTTTGCTATGGGGAACTCGATTCAGTATTCGATTAGCTGTAAGAATAGCTTCCCCCCACAAGTTCTGAGGTAAACCAGAACTTATTAATAAGGCGTTCATCATCTCCTTTAACGGTCTATTCTTTCTTTTCGCAATTCCATTAGATTGCGGTGAGTAAGGGGCAGTTGTTTGGTGAATAATGCCATTTTCCAAACATATTTCTTCAAAAGGAGATTCATATTCGCCGCCTCTATCACTTCTTATCATTTTAATCTTTTTGTTTAATTGCGTTTCAACTTTATTTTTGTATTGCTTGAATGCGTCTATTGCTTCATCTTTACTATTAAGTAAGTAAATATAGCAATATCTAGTACTGTCGTCAACGAAAGTTATGAAATACTTTTTTCCACCGCGAGATGGTATTGACTTCATGTTGCAAATATCCGTGTGAATTAAGTCTAAAGGATTTGAATTCTTTTCAACTGACTTATAAGGATGCTTAACATACTTTGATTCCACACATATTTGAAATTTCGAGTTATTGCATTCAAACTTAGGTAATACTTCCAAATTAATCATTTTTCGCAAAGTTTTGAAGTTGACGTGGCCTAAACGTTCATGCCATAAATTATTTGACTCAAGCAAGTTAGAAGAAGCTGAAATTTTATTCATATCAATAGCAATTACATTGACCTTAAAAAGGCCCTCAGTCAGGTAACCTTTTCCTACATACATTTCATTCTTACTAACTACAACCTTGTCGGAAACAAAAATACACTTAAAGCCATCGACTAGAAGTGATGTCGAGACTAAATTCTTCCGCATTTCAGGAACATGAAGAACATCTTTTAGAGTCACAACCTTTCCCGAAGTCATCTTCAAAGCTACCTTGCCCGTTCCTCCAATTTTTGCAGTAGCGGAGTTTGCCATAAACACTGTCTCCTTGGGTCCAACGGGAGAATAAGAAGTAAAGAACTACGTGTTAGCACAAACATGTCGAGTTGCTCCTGAATCAATCCACCATTCTCTAGGATTTCCGACTAGGTTGCATTCTGAAAACATGGCACATAGGTCGTCTATTTCATCGTTCTTCTCAATCATGTTTGCTTGACTTTTCTTATTGTCCTTCTTTGGTGCACGACATTCAGTAGCCTTCTGTCCAACCTTTCCACAGTTATGGCAATTACCTTTGAACCTCTTCTTGCTTGGATAATTCGTTGATCCAGACGACTTCTTTCTCTTTTTACTCGTTGAAGTTTCCTCAACAATATTTGCACCCATTATTGTTGAATTACCACGAGATTTCTTCTCAGCAACCTTGTTTTCATCTTCAATCCGTAGACGAACAATAAGGTCTTCAAGTGTCATCTCCGTGCGCTTATGTTCCAAGTAATTCTTAAAGTCCTTCCACAGCGGAGGCAACTTTTCAATAAATGCCGCAACTTGAAACGCTTCATTTATGACCATACCTTCAATCATAAATTTATAATTAGTACAATAATTAATATTTTGAATAAAAATATTGACTTGTTTTATACCTTCAGCAAGGAGGTCATGAACAATAACTTGCAATTCTTGGACTTGCGTTATGACAGATTTAATCATATTGAAATCCAAAAATTTGGCGGCCACAAACTTCTTTAGTCCATCATCTTCAGTCTTGTACTTCTTTTCAAGAGCATTCCATAATTCTCTTGATGTTTTCATGACGCTATAAACGTTGTACAGGCCATCTTTCAGCCCACTTAAAATGTACTTTTTGCACAGGAAATCAGAGTGCTTCCAAGACTTAGTAACAAGGAAGCGCTCGTTGTCAGGGGTTCCTTCAGGCACGACTGGAATATCCTCTTGAATGAACCTTTGCAGGCTTAGAGTGGTCAGATAAAAGAACATCTTTTGCTGCCATCTCTTAAAGTCAACACCAGAAAATTTCCCCGTCTTTTCCGCTGGTGGCATCGCTGTTGCAGGTGCAGTAGGACGGCTAGAACCTGGCATCCCCGAAACTGTGTTAGCAGTAACAGTCACAGCAGGTTCAATTTGTTCCTCTCCGTTAGTCATTTCTGTCAATATGACACAAACAGATTCAGTAAATGGTGAAGTATTTAATCCTTCAACCCAAGACAACACAGTGAAGAGATTATTCTTCAAACTGATTTTAACACAGTGAAGAGATTATTCTTCAAACTGATTAGGAGTAGAAAACACGAAGGTTTTAGTCTCCTCAGTCACTTCGAAAATCAGAAACAACAAAGATATATATAAATAAGATTCTTTAAGCTTGCTAGATATTCTGAATTTATAAGTGACTAAAAACAGAAAATTAAATGAACAGAAATTGGCAGAATTATGTCTCGAGCCCACAAATTCCTTGTGTGTCATTAAAGATTCTTATCCCCTCACTGTTGCCCAAGGTTAACGGATAAATTCTTCCCAGGATAGAACGGAACTTCCAACTTAGCGGTAGCGGCACTTCAAACCACTAAGTTATCACCGAACTCAAAATAATGGTGCAAATCACACGACGGACTTCCTTTGTTTTGAAAGTAATGATGCAGAAAGAAGAAGGAGATGAAGCAGAAGATTTCAGGATGAAAAATTCTGAATGAATGGTTGCTTATTTATAGCCAACGAATTTCTAGATTGAAAGGGTGTGAAAGTGGCTGTTCACACTGAAGGTGGCTATTCGTGAAATGCAGCCTCTCTCTGGTGGCTGTTTAATTAACGCGGGAATATTTGAATAAAATTAAAGACGAAAATTAATTTATCGTTACAAATAACGGTCACTCAAAATATTAATATAAGATATTAATATTTAATTAATTAATTTCATTGGTCCAAAAATTAAGTCAATCAATCATATCAATTGACCGAAGCCGAAGCCGAAGCCGAAGCCGAGCGACAATGACAGCGCGAAGCCTCTTCCTCTTAGCTCCTTTTAAGAGCTTAAGGAAGTACTTCTATATTTAAACCCAACAAAATACTTGTCTTTAACCAATGAGGGACAAAGTGCAAAAGCCAAAGTTGCCTTTTCACCTTCTTCCCTCATTTCCCGTTCACACTACCACTTCAACCCCAACACTTCCTACTATATCGTTAATGAGAGGCTTTTAAAGCATATAAATACTATGACATGTTTAAGATCACACGTTTCAAAGAGAATTATATCCACACAAATGTTATGCGTCGTTTAAAATGTTAGGTGTAAAGAATGCCCTGTAAATGATAGTGACTCCATACTTGATATCATAGAACCCTTGTAAGTTTTTGTAATGGGGGATTCTTTTACTTTTTTTGGGTTGTATTTTGTTACTTTTAGCAGCACAAACTTTGTGCTGTTTTATATTTATGAAATGTTATCATTCTAAAAAAAAATCACATATTTTAAAAGTTTTTGTGTTTTTTTTTTAAACTCCGTGTCCAATCAAATAGTTTCACATAAATTGAAGTAGAGAGAGTACAGTCAGACCTCTCTATAACAACATCCTTACATAAAAGTCATTCACTATAAAAGCCAAGTTTTTCTCAGAACCGATTTTTAAGTTATATTTTAGCTTTCTATAACAGCTTTTTACTTATAGCAGTAACAATTATATTTATAGCAGAATGCTCTTTGTCAAATTACCCTCTATAACAACCATATAAAATCTTTAAGATTACTAATAATAATTCTAAAAAATATGCACACAATCTTTTTCAATAAACAAAATTTCTATCTTGTATAAAATTTGAAGATTTGCACATAATATCGTTTTCTTGGATTTAAAAAAAATTAGATAGAAAATTTAATTGTTAAGCTCTTAGATTGTTTTCAAGGGAAAGCCATTTGATACCTTTTTGCTGAAAATTTGGAGAAAAGTTTTCGTCAATTCAAGCGTTATATCGATAGTGAGAGGAGGAAATCTACGAAATGAGCTACAATTACAAAATTCTTTCATCAATCTTGAAATAATTTATTTTTCTAGGTAGCTTTAAAATGTCTGCCTTAGAGTTTAAATCTTTATATGTTTAGATATGAATTTATTAATAATGTATTAGCTTTCTTCAACATTTAACTAGTGAAATATGTATATCTTTTGAGATTTTAAATTTGAATATTTTTCTTATCTTTTATATATAACATTAAAAAAAAGAAAATAATTGATTTTTCAATAATTTTTATCTATAACAACCAACAATATTTAAACGTCAAATGTTGTTATAGGTGTATAACAATCATTCACTATAAAAGCCAAAAGATATCGGAACAAACGAGTATGTTATAGAGAGGTTTGACTGTATACTCCATCCGTTCATTTTACCCATTTTATCTTTAATGAGAAGTTTTTATAACCATACAAATATCATGACCCCACAAATTTTTACCCTTTAAGCTTTTAAGATCACAAGTTTCAAAAATCTTTTTTTTTTCTTAAACTCCGTATCGAATTAACTACCTCATCTAAATTGAAACAGAGAGATTATAACTTTTTACTGACCGGTCAATTTTGTATCTTGCCATGATTGGATCCAGATCGGTTTTAGTAACCCGGGCCCGGACACTCATTTGTGTCCAAATTTATTGTTTGGGCTGGGTAGGTGAAAGTTGCCAGGAAAATGAAAACAAGTGGCATTATTTATTACTGTACTATACTAATTTATCAGTATTAAATGCCCAGCTGGCAGCTCCCCTCCCTCTCGGTCTAACTTCCTCAGGGCCTCAACCTCTAACTTCGATCTCATCGACACAAGACAAAATACGCAAAAACACAGCCCAACTCCGACACAACAAATCACTGATAACGTAAACCACACACACACACACACTTTCCTCTCTTTCTCACACACACACACACTCTTTTACAATGTTGTCACGAGCGACATATCAGGCTAATGCAGCTATTACAGATCATACTCATCACTGTTCAAATCGATTCTTCAATTCGAATTCGATTTCAATTCCCCACAGAAAATCTTTTGTTTCTTCTACTTCGGTAGCTCGAACCGGTCCGGTTTTGGCTGTAGCTACAAACGAGACGAAGAACAAGCAATTTACTTATGAGCCTAGCCTTGCGGATCGGTTAAGGCTGGGGAGTATGACGGATGATGGAATGTCGTATAAGGAAAAGTTTATTGTTAGATGTTATGAGGTTGGAATTAACAAAACTGCCACTGTTGAAACTATCGCCAATCTCTTGCAGGTCTGTTAGTTTTTCCTTTTTTCCTTTTTTGCTAAAGTTTGATTCTTTTTTTTTTTTGTTAATTTATTTTTTATACTGACTATGAGTTCCTCGTGATTTGTCTATGCATGTCTATTTCTCGAAATCATAGATTTGATGGTCTGCTTTTATGACAAGATTGATGCTTTTTTTTTGTTTTAATCAACTCTTTTACCGAATATGAGTTCTTAATTTGTCAATGCAGGTCTTTTTTTCTCAATTTTTATTATTTTCGTGCAATTGCCAAAGATTGATTTTCATTTTCGGTTTTTGTGTTAATCAGATCTTTCACTGAATATGAGGTCTTAATTTGTCAATGCATGTGTATTTTTCTCCCTTTTTCTTTTGTTTTTCTTTGACATGCAATTGGTAAATTTTGTTTGAATTAGTTGTGTTTTTTTGTTTTCTTTTGGATTAGGATACTGGTTAACTTCATTTTGTTGCTTAAACATGCTAATTTTTGCGATCTTGTCGCTAAATCAATCAGCAAACTACGCCTCAAAGCAATTCAAAGAAATTCTAATTCTATATTCTCTAGGATGTCTGGACCATAAAATGTACATGCGAACAAGCAAATCAGCGTTTTTTTTGTCTGAATTTATTATATACATTTGAGGTTACAGAATGAATTAATCAAAATCATTTTATCAACATGTCTTTGTTCTTGATATTTTTGAGTAGTTTGGTTTACCTTTATGAGCCAATCAAAGGGTTTGGCTGTATAATTCCTTTATATCCATTTCCCTTCATTCAGCCTCATTTCATTTAATACTATACCTGTCTTTTGAAGCAAATTTGACTGACCAATGTGCTTCCATTACATAAGTTGTATGTTTGGTTATGGTTGTTTGTTCTTCTTCTACAAAGAAGACGAACAAAATTAATACTCCTAGGTTAGAACCATAAAGTAGGACAAGATGATGTCTTCACAAGTTTTTTCTTATATCTGAAGGGGACTTTGTCCTGATTGTCTGTTGGGAATTTTGGTTTCTCCACTTTAAAGAGTTAAATGTTTAGCTTTTCTTTATCATTTTTGTTTCTTAAAGCTCTACATTTTCTTAAATTATTACAAGTTCTCTACTCCCTCATCAAAAATCGTAGCTTTAATTGATTTTCATTATGGTTTTGTTGCGTTCTTCATAGATGGGTCGTTTTAGTATCTTAGTGCACTAAGCATAGAATGTAGTGCACTTAGTGAATTCTACTCCCTCCTTTTCAAATGGAATGACGGTTTCGGAGTACTAGGATTAAACCATCTAATTTTAAATCTCAATTTGAATATGATACCTCAACTTTTCAAAATACAGTTTACTTATTTAAGAACTACATAAAAAGTACTATAACTCACAGATTTTTATAATTGAAAACATTCAATGTAGGATCTAATCAAAGAATCTAATCAAATTTGGGATGTTTTTCTGTAACTTTATTGTACCATCTTGGTACCTTATTAATAAAAATATTACCTTATCAAATCAAAGAAAAGATTGCTCGACTCCGGAATAGTAATGGTGGGAGCATAAAATTTGGGGGATTATCTTTTTCTTGCCTTCCTCTGTCCGATAATTATCTTTCGGCTGTCCTTTCTTTTAAACATGCAATGCTTACTTGGGTTTAATATGCTTAAACTCTGTTATGCAGGAGGTTGGATGCAACCATGCTCAAATGGTTGGATTTTCAACTGATGGATTTGCTACTACCCATACCATGAGAAAATTGCATCTCATATGGGTTACTGCTCGCCTGTACATTGAGATCTATAAGTACCCTGCTTGGTAATCTTTTTTTTTACCTTTGTGATAGTTCACTGTACTGGTTTATTTGACAAGACTGTTGCAGCCATGGTTAACGTTGGCTGTGAGATGGAACAGGAGCGATGTCATTGAAATAGAGACTTGGTGCCAAAGTGAAGGCAGGATTGGGACTAGACGTGATTGGATTCTCAGAGACTGCGCTACTGGTGATGTCATTGGAAGAGCAACCAGGTGCAGAATTTAGTATGAACTCCATATATAGACCTAACAGAAAGAATGTAGATAACACCAAAAAGATAATTTTCTTGTTGAACATCTCCAAGTGGGCATGTATGCTTCCGATCATGCAGTGTTCTTGACTTGAGTATATTTGTTGCAAATACTTAACCTAGTTGAATTACTTACCTTTTGAGTATCTGCTCTGTCACAAGTGAGGTCTACGATTCTCCATGCCACCTGGTTATTAGATCCATTTCCTGCCTTAAAATACATTTCCCACAAAGGTGGCTATTGGAACGAATGAATTCTATTTGTAAGTTACTGCATAAAAACTGAAAGGACCTCCAGGGAATGTTGTGCTTCTAAATCAACACGAATCAATGTGTTTACTTTATGAAGTCTGGGATTTGTCTGTCTTAATGATTTCTCTCTAGCATCAAAGTAACAGATCTCACTTTTTGACAATTTGTAAATCCTTTCTTTTCCTATACTTCTTGACATGTTATTCTACAAATCTTAATTTAGGACGTTATGATGTCTGATTGCAGCAAGTGGCTCATGATGAACCAGGACACAAGACGGCTTCAAAAAGTAGCTGATGAAGTTCGTGATGAGTTATCAACCTATTTTCCAAAAGAATTGAGGTAAACTTATGTTCCTCTTTTTCATTTTCTTTCTTACCCTTCCCTTTCCTGGAACTTGTAATTTTCTTAGTGAGTGAATTATTCTCGTTAAATCTAACTCTAATGAGAAGTTGCTTATGAACTTCTTGAAATTGCTATACGACAGTTGGAATGGTGTTTGGTAGGTACAGCTTCTTGCTACTGGTAAATGAAAATGTAGCTGTTAAATACTATCATAAGTTACGGTTATATCTAACACTCAAATGGTTTGGAGACATTACTGATTCGTAATTCTTTGGATTTTTATTACAGATTTATAATTAATGCATATATTTCTTGCTATTTGATGAATGTTTTTGTATCTTAGATTGATCAATGGAATAGAAGATTATAACACAAATAAAAAGTTATCCTTCTAACAATCGTAATTTATACTAGGGCCTAAAATTAAAAACTTATCCTTCTAACAATCGTAATTTACACTAGGGCCTAAAAACCATTTGATCCCAAAAACAGTTGTTTTGCTTCTGAAAACAAAAAACAAAAGGTTGTTTCTCGAGAACAAAATTTCCAACATATGCAAAACCAATTCTTCAAAACCAAATCCAAACACACACACACACACACACTGAGAGAGTTTTGCAAAAAAGCAAAACCAAAGTAAAACCAATCTGTTTCCCAACCAAATACCACATTAAGGTGTCCAGTTTCTTTTAACTCTGGTGCTAGTTTGTTTGCCAAACTTATATTCAGTGTAGTTTAGACAGTCAGACAATGATATGGGTGTCTTCTCTATCAAGCCAACTCCAATAATCAGTTTTACATTTTTATATTTCAGTGAAAAATTACACTTGAATCAACCTAACTTCTTTTTTATATGCTCACTACGTTAAAATTGGGTAGACCGAGGACGGTAAGTGAGAGAGAAAAATGACGGTCTGAAGAGCACTTCACTCTGGGGAAGCAAAATAATATCTGCCCCTTCCCTCTCTAACCAAACATATTTTAAATCGTTTTAGCAAAAAAAAAAAACATATTTTAAATTGTATCTCCTTCATAATTGTGTTGTGTAACTTGTTTCCCTGTCTACTCTGTTGCATATGCTCTGCAATGTCACTGACCTTGACTTTGTCACATGTAAGTTTTGAGTGCTGTATTTTATTGGGAACAATATCATTGATAAAGGGCACCCTAATTCCAGGTTAGCTTTTCCGGAGGAGAACAATGGCAGCCTAAAGAAAATAGCAAAACTTGAAGATCCTGCTGAGTATTCCAAGCTAGGGCTGGTGGTAGGTATCAGTTTAAAATCCCAAGTTTAATGACATTCTATTTCAAAACACTCAGGTGTTCAGTGTGTTTTGGCAGCCGCGCAGAGCTGATCTGGACATGAATCAACATGTAAACAATGTCACTTACATTGGCTGGGTTCTTGAGGTATATAGCTGGTACCTATCGCTTAAATACATGGATGTGGCCAGCCATATATACGACGCAATAATTTTTCTTTTCTTCTTGGAAACTACTGAAACTTCTGTTGCTCTTCATTGTGATAAATAATTAGACTAGTTAGGAGACTTAGTCGGTGGGGATCTTAAAGCCCATTTATCATTTGTGCTTGTAGGAAGTTATTAGAAGTACCTTGCAATTATATTTTACATCTATGGATTACTACTTACTTTATTTTGCTGACAAATAACTTGTATATATGGCAGAGTATGCCTCAAGAAATTATTGATACACATGAACTAGAAACAATCACAATAGATTATAGGCGCGAATGCCAGCAGGATGATGTGGTCGATTCACTTACGAGCTATGAGCCCATTGAGGATGCTGCTGGTTTAGAGATTCATGGTGCTGCTAATGGATCTGCTACCGCTCCAAAGGATGTAAACAAGAGCTTCTTGCATTTATTGAGATTATCAGGCGATGGACTTGAAATAAATAGGTGTCGAACTGAATGGAGAAAGAAGCCTGCAAGGATATAAGTGTCAAAATGTTTTATTATCCATTATAGCCCAATTAATCATCAGTGGAGGAGCTCTTTTTTTTTTTTGAACTTTCAGTGTTTCTATCTTTTTTCTTGTGTTTCTGCAGTTTTTGATTGTTTACCCTCTTTTCTTTTTCTTGGAGCTTTTGATAGACTTTGGTTGAGATGAGGCTTCATTGATTTGTACTAATGTTTTAGTTATGCAAATAGACAGGATGAGGAAAAAGTGTACTGTGTAATATGGGAACAATCATTGTTCTTATCATGTAATGTATGGCATGTATCTCCTGATGGTAGCTTCATTTGTTCTTATCATTTTGAGTAATCTGATTTCACCATCACCTTTGTACATCAAAGATTGCTTTTCCTTGGAAGATAGGGATTAAAAAGAAAAAGAAAAAAGAAGGGAAAATGACACTGGATAGCCGCTCTCAAAATAATAGCCGAAAAAATATATATTTTTGTGTATTTTTGTGTATTTTTTTATTCTCCTGCCGAGGGTCTATCGAAAATAGCCTCTCTGTCCTTCCAGGTAGGGTAAGGCTGCGTACATTTTACCCTCCCCGGACCTCACTTGTGGGAAATTATTGGGTTTGTTGTTGTTATATATATATATATATATATATATATATATATATATATATATATGTGAGTAGAAGGCTAGTAGGTAGTCAAGCGTTTCTCTTTGTTTTACTCTGTTCGCTAGCATTAGTGTTAGTATGATATCCTTCTATTCATTGGCTTTTACTACCTAGAGTTTAACTGCTTTCTTGACTTTGGTATTTTTTTTGTTGTTATTCTTACTTGTTGCCACCATATTATTATTTTTTGGTTTCTTCTTCTCTTCTTTCATCCGTTCTCCAGCCGAGGGTCTATCGGAAATAGCCTCTCTGCCCTTTCAGGGTAGGGGTAAGGTTGCGTACATATTAGGCTCCCCAGACCTCACTTGTGAGAAATTACTAGGCTTGTTGTTGTTATATATATATATATATATATATATATATAAGGAGGGGGCAGCACGTGTCAAAAAGATTGTATAATCATAACTTCTTCTTTTTTTAACATTTAAAATTCTTTTTTCCTTTTTCTGCCGATAGATTGATTAAGCACAATTATTAAAAACAAAAAAAAAGAACTTAAGTATAAAAATCAGATAAATATTCATAGCCTCAAAAGTATTATAGCACTACTATATTTTAAAGTGCTACCTTTGCAGAACTGAGACAAAGAGAAGTGAATTAAAATGACAAGTACACAATACAATAGCAAAAATCAGCTGAAAGCATAACAAAGGCAACAAACCACTAGCCCAAATTTATCACCAATATAAGAAACCTCTTAACACAAAAAAGATTAACATTGCAGAGGAGTTTGTTGATTTATTTACAGATCAACTATTGCTTCATATCACCAGAAAAATAGGACCCTCTTTTTCACCACAAAGGAAAGCAGCAGCTCTGCAGAATATAGAAGAGAGGATAAGAACAAGAGTGAAACAAATGGATCATTATAGCCAGTGACAAATGCAGACTTTAAACTTGACATGTTTGAACTTTAAGGTTTTTAGTGCTGAATTCATTGTACTTTTGAAATTATCGGCTCAAATTTAATATTTATTAAATACTAGTGTTTTTTTCACATACAACAACAACAACAACAACCGGTGAAATCCCACAAGTGGGGTCTGGGGATAGTAGTGTGTACGCAGACCTTACCCCTACCCCGGAGGAGTAGAGAGGTTGTTTCTGTAAGATCCTCGGCTCGAGAGGATGAATAGAAACAATCAAATCTCAGCTACAATAGCCAGGAAAATGATAACTACAATGTAAGAACTAGAAAAAAAAAATAGATGGAGGAAAGCAATAGCACTAGAAAAAGCAACAAGCAGTAACCACGACAAGATGCTAGAAAACCGAAGCGGAAGATAATAGGAAATAGCCATATAATACTAGCAATCTAGGAACAATGACAAGAAACTAGTGGTTTTTCACGTACATATGATTATTCATGTTCCGTATTGAAAATACTGGATTCAGTTGAACCTATTGAACAGAAGCATCCGCCTCTGAATATAGAAAAGAGCACAAGTGATAGCAGTACCTTTTGCTTTTCGTTTCGTTGATGCCTTTCGGTACTGTAAGATGTTCTACCAGGTGTGCCTAGCACATTTCCAGAGCCTCTGTTCCTTTCATTTCTTTCATTTCGCACTTTGTTAAAAACCTCAGAGTAGTTTTCTGCAGATTGAGGATCATTCTCATCCCATCCGCCAAATTTTGGAACTACAGCTCCTCTATCAGGCTGCTAGAAGAAGGAGAAATCACAGCTAATGAGATGAATAAAAGAATGCTCCCTTAGTTCAATTTCAGTGTCACACTAGTGAACTTACAAGTGAGCTGTAAAGGTAGAAAAAAACAGATCAATCAAGAGATAGTGGTTCGGTTTTTTCCTAAGCAAGGACGGACGAGTGACGATTGGCCTGGGAGAGTGTCTCAAATGCTGATACCATTTTATAAATAAGCCAATAAAAAAAGATAAGTAGAAGCCAGTGAAAGTGAAAGAGGAGTAAGCCGGGTACGACGAAGCCCTAGGCCTAAGGGGCACTACGTAAACAAGTACAGACCAACTTTTTAAGGTCAAACTCAAAGGTTTAATCTACTTAAAAGCACAGAAGTTTCAAAATGCATGGGCAGCCCAGTGCACAAAGCATCTCGCGTTCACACAGGATTCAGGAAGTTTCAAAATACATGATTACTATAATATTTTCATGCAGATTTAGATGCAGCAAAAATCAGCTGGACCTCAAAATTACAATAACATACCCGGTATTATTCCACATCGTGGGGGCTGGAGAGGGTAGTGTGTACGCAGATCTTACCCCTACCTTGAGAAGAAAGAGAGACTGCTTCCAATAGACCCTTGGCTCAGGAAAACATAAGCACCACATGTGATTGCAGTATTGTTTAAACTAATTGGTAACATGTGATCTAAGAGCCATGTAGCTTCTATTAAACGAAAAGTATCAAGAACATAACTTATATACATTGATAGTGTCAGGAAATATATCCTAACTTGTTGTAGCAGATGATCTATCTTATTTTCCATATTACTAATCTCAAGAACGATTACCAGTAGTTATCTTTTAGTGACTCGTCAGCATATAGTCAGTATATACAAGGTAATTAAACTCAAAGTATCAAGTGCATTTCCTATCATTTCCAGAAATGGCTAACATATCTTACTAATTAGCTTATTATCTCAGTCAAATAGGATAAGTAAGGCATGCAATCACAAGTTGTAAGTATCTATCTTCGATATTATGAAAGATCATCCCGGTGCACTAAGCTCTCGCTATGCACGGGATCGTAGGAAATGTCGGACCACAAGGGTCTATTGTACGCAGTCTTACCCTGCATTTCTGCAAGAGGCTGTTTTCACGGCTCGAACCAGTTACCTCCTGGTCACATGGCAGCAACTTTACCAATTACGCCAAGGCTCCCTTCTTCGATGTTATGAAAGATGAAATAGAAAAGGAAGAAACATACACTTTCTTTCTTCAGTTGATGCCTCCCGGGAGTAGCACGAGCACTTTCAAATGATCTACCAGGAGTAGTACCATGGCTACTATCATATGAATTCTTCCCTTCCCAAGCAGGCGAAGCAGCTACTCGTCCTGATATCTTTGCCTGCTGAGAATATGGATGAATTGGTGATTTAGCAATGTTGTGATCAGATCCTGCAGTTTGTCTAGCAGGTCGAGTTGAGTTTGATCCACGACCAGCTCCATTACGTTGTTGAATATCACCATGTTCTTTACTCACGCGACGTTTTTGTTCCTCCCTTTGAGTTTTAGGAGCAAAATTGTGAAACATGTCTGGATTTTCTTGAGGGTCATTTGGATTTATCATCTTTCCACCACGAGTTTTCCTTGCATTGTCAAAAAAGACAGTATAGGGAGTGTTGTCTTCACTTTCCCAATTGCCAAATTTTGGCACATTTGGACGCTGCAGTAACAATTAGAACAAAATTCAACAAATTGTGAGTGTCTGGTGCGACCAAAGTTTTTTTCCAAAAAAAAAAGAAAAAAAAGAAAAGTAGTGTCGTCTTATGTGATCAAAGGGTGTTTGGTATGACGGAAATCATTATATGATCTGTGAATATGGAAAAAAAAGAACCACTGACAACCAAACAGAAATATTATATTATAGTATAACTTTATAGTTAGGTAAAAGAAAAAATAACAGCCTGATTTGTTCAATAGGCTTATTATCTATTTAGGAATTTACTGAACTACATATATGAAATAGACTCAGATATACAACAACAACAACACAACAATTACGCATCAGTCTGGAACATATTGATTTCAGCCATATAAATCTTTTTTTTTTTGTGATGACCGAGAAATCCGTCAGGGGCCAATCCTTTGAACCAACCGCAGCCTTTGAAACTCGGTAGATAATGGGCCCGCCCCTCTACCCTTCTCCACTTAAATACCAGGCTTTGCTTTGCATGATGTGAGGGCTTGAACCTGTGACCTAAGACACAAATCCACCACCCTTTGCCACTTGAGCTTGGCCCTGGGGGCCATATAAATCATCAACATCCATGTCGCACTATTTAAGCTCATCTCAATCCAACAATATGATAACTAGTTTCTCTAACAAGAATAAAAGACTACAGCAAATAATGGACCTAAAGTAAACGTAATTCGATGACAAAACTTAACCCAGATATAACATAATAAATAAATAAGTAGTAATAAATAATTACACAAGTAATTAGGCCTCAGTCACAGATTGCAGAGCAATTTGGAGTGAAACAGTGGGAATAAAAGACCCAAAAAAAAAAGAGGCAACAAAAGGGCATACAACTGCTATTATCTTACATTAAATCATGAACCAGAAAATCAGAAATAAACGAAAAAACTTACTGCCATTGCTCTTCACCAAGCTTTTTGGAACAAACCTTCAGAATTTCCTGAGAAAAAAAAAAGAAACTATGCAATAACTCAAAAGAGAGAGAGAGAAGGAGAAAGAAGGTGCAGAGGCAGAAGAATTTAAGAGAGAAATATATATATAAATTGTGAGATTTATTTTAGCAACCATTGACTCTACTGCCATAGCTGGTAATAGTTGACTATTCGCCTCTCCTTTTATTCTTTGGTTAAGTCTTCGCACGTCGTCTTTCTCAAAGTCTTCCTCAAATTTTACCCCCATGCACACACTGACAGCAGCGTTGAACTATATTTTAGTGAGTTTTATTTTATCCTCCTTATATATTTGCCCCTAAATTCGTCAAAAAATTACACTACATATAAGGCAAAATTCGGTTTGCGCCTCTATACACAACCCAAAAACATAGTTCAGTCATTGACGGATCCAGAATTTATAGGTCGTGGGTGCTTCAATAATTTTAGTGTAAATTCTAAATGGTCACACATAATCATCGTGGATGCCCATAGTCAATTATTCAAAAAATTTAGGTATTATCTATGAATATATTACATAATTTGGCCAAATCTAATGGGAGTTTCAGCACCCATACCTCCAAAGGTAGATCCGCCAGGCGCCACTTAGCTCAGTGGTCAAGGAGCTTCAAAACATTTGTGAGGTTGCTGATTTAATTTTCACTTACCATCGTTACTTTTGATTCTTTAACTTTTTTTTTTGAACCTCCTTAACGAAAATCATACCCCCGCCCATATTGGTCGTAATCTGACCATTTCGACCTGGGCGGTCACGACCGCATTTTTGTCGTTAAGAAGAAGGTCGGAGTTAATCTAATCCCTCCTCTTAACCCATTCGGCATGACAACAAGAGCAGTATCTTTCCACGATCGGGAAGTCTCGTTGCCCTAGGCACGCCAAAGTCGCGGCAGGGGCAAGAGAATTATTTCAACTATATATACGTGAGAAAAGGGAGAAAAGAGGAGGGACTCTCGGATGACCAGAGGGCTCCTAAAAAGCTACATTCGGAGATCCCTAAATGAAGGGGTGATTGTAATTCCTCTCCCCCCCCCCCTCCTGGGAGGGAGATGAACAATATTCAATTTTAATAAGATCTTCATTTCTAGATTCATTCAATGTTTAATTGCTATCATACAATCCTTCGATCCGGTATTGATTAGGTTTGGCTAAGATTTACCCCTTCATCTTTGATTGATTTGTCCAAAAAAGATTTCAAATTTTTTGAGTCAAACAATTTGGCACCGTCTGTGGGGATTTCCTAGTGAAAATTCCTAGTTATTCCCAGATCGAAGCTAAGAAGCACGAGAAGAGAACCCAACCCACACCAGATATAAAGGAAGCGCGTCGAGGGAAAAGAGGCCAAAACAGATTCGCGAGAGCTGTAATTCCTTGCTCTATCGGCCTCGAATATCCCGAACAAGGCGAAATGTGCTGCAATCCGGTTTCTCCCCTTCCCTCAAAGCCGCTGGGCAGAGGCGAGAAACATCTCATCCTCATCCCCCATATTTCGTCAAACCAGGTACACAAAATTCGCGCGAGCGAACAAACGCAGGGGTACCCAGATTGAGAAGCCAAAAATCAATTAGGCACACCCGAAACCCTCCCGGCCGGCGGCGTCCTCGAGACTAATGCTCGAAGTCGAACGGGAAACTGCAACACGCGCACAACGCGAGTACGAAATATCAACATTTCGTGTCCACGGTGTTGGACCATCTGATGCGGGCGACGCTGACCAAACTGGGACTCCCACGAAAAGCCTTCGCCATCAAAGTGAAGGATTTGACCTTGCTCGAATCACGACGGGTTGTTATTTCGATAAGTTCGAAATAACGCCCTTAAGGCCAAGGGCCTTCGCCATCAAAGTGAAGGATTCGACCTTGCTCGAATCACGACGGGTTGTTATTTCGATAAGTTCGAAATGACGCCCTTAAGGCCAAGGGCCTTTGCCATCAAAGTGAAGTATTCGGCCTTGCTCGAATCACGACGGGTTGTTATTTCGATAAGTTTGATATAATGCCCTTAAGGCCAAGGGCCTTCGCCATCAAAGTGAAGGATTCGACCTTGCTCGAATCACGGCGGGTTGTTATTTCGATAAGTTCGAAATAACGCCCTTAAGGCCAAGGGCCTTCGCCATCAAAGTGAAGGATTGGACCTTGTTCGAATCACTACGGGTTGTTATTTCGATAAGTTCGAAATAACGCCCTTAAGGCCAAGGGCCTTCGCCATCAAAGTGAAGGATTCGACCTTGCTCGAATCACGACGGGTTGTTATTTCGATAAGTTCGAAATGACGCCCTTAAGGCCAAGGGCCTTCGCCATCAAAGTTAAGGATTCGACCTTGTTCGAATCACGACGGGTTGTTATTTTGATAAGTTCGAAATAACGCCCTTAAGGCCAAGGGTCTTCGCCATCAAAGTTAAGGATTTGACCTTGCTCGAATCACGACGGGTTGTTATTTTGATAAGTTCAGAATAACGCCCTTAAGGCCAAGGGCCTTCGCCATCAAAGTTAAGGATTCGACCTTGTTCGAATCACGACGGGTTGTTATTTCGATAAGTTCGAAATAACGCCCTTAAGGCCAAGGGCCTTCGCCATCAAAGTTAAGGATTCGACCTTGCTCGAATCACGACGGGTTGTTATTTCGATAAGTTCGAACTGACGCCCTTAAGGCCAAGGGCCTTCGCCATCAAAGTGAAGGATTCATCCTTGCTCGAATCACGACGTGTTATTATTTCGATAAGTTCGAAATAACGCCCTTAAGGCCAAGGGCCTTCTCCATCAAAGTTAAGGATTCGACCTTGTTCGAATCACGACGGGTTGTTATTTCGATAAGTTCAAAATAACGCCCTTAAGGCCAAGGGCCTTCGCCATCAAAGTGAAGGATTCGACCTAACTCGAATCACGATGGAACGTTATTTCGATGAGTTCGAAATAACGCCCTCAAGGCCAAGGGCCTCCGCCATCAAAATCAAAGATTCGACCTCACTCAAATCATGACGGGCTGTCATCCCGGTGAATTCGAAATAAATCCCTTTACAGCTAAGAGCCGTCACCTTCACAGAAAAAGGAAAGACTGGGACTCGTCAAACGAGCTCCCGTCTCGTGCCAAGGCCACAAATAATCAGTAACAAAAATCGAAGTACAAAACATATAACGAAGAACTCTTTATTATTGAAAAGTCATGAATGCGGACTATTGCCGCTTACAACAGGCCCATGCCAACAAATAAAAAAAAAGGGGGAAAAGAAAAAGATGGAACGAACGGATACCAGCTCACCAACAAAAAAAAACAGCAACGAAGTACAAATATTTTTCATTCGGCGTCGCTACTGCCGCCATCATCACCATCCCTACGAGGGTCATCATCATCACCATCTGTGCCCCCATTGGCCTCGGGTGTCGCCGCGTCATACCCACAGTTGATGCGAGCATCGCGATCTTTCGCTCGCACTTCCTCATACGCAGCTTCTGTCACGGTGCCCGCTTCCAACAAACTCTTATAAATGTCACCTGGGCCTCGGCATAGACCCAAAGCTCATGAATCTAGCGGGAAAAGGCAGCATGAGACGGTTCAGCTCGAGCCCTCAATCGTTCATTCTCCGCTTCTAGGGCCGCGACTCGATCTGCTAGAACCAAAGCCTCCTGGTCGATCGTGCCAATCTGCTCCTCGAGCCTCGCCTCCATGAGGGTTGTTGTTGCCATCTCCGACTCCTGCTCAGACCGGAGTACGCGAATGGTTTTTTCTAGAGCCGCCGCCTTCGCCGAAGCCTCGGACCAGGACCTCTCAATGTGCTCTAGGTTAACAACCTTACTCTCCAATGCAGCCAGCTTCCCTCTCCATTCCGCGCCCATAGCCTCGACCCGGATCAAGTTCTGGTCCATCTCCGACTGCATGGACCTCAGCTTTCCCTGTAAATACTCACACTCTGCGGCGACACCCTTGCAAACTTCGAGCTCCTCATCCTTGAGGCGAAGTTGCTCCTCGAGCTTGCTCTTACTGCGGATCGTCTGCATCAACTCTTGGTCCCTTTTCTCCAACTCCTCGCCCAGAGCCCGGTTGCGGGGATCCGTCCTCAGCCGCTCGTGCAACTCACGACATCTGTTATGATAGCGACGGTACTTCTCTAGCATCTTCAAGAAAATCCTTGCCCGAATATTGGCCCTGCGAATGCTTTCTACCTCCACCATGTGCGTCTGAAAATCATAAGGACGAAGTCAGAGTAATATTTTTGGATAAAAAAAGGAAAAAATACTTAAAGGCGAGAACAGAATACAACATACCCTCAAGCCCATGACGGCCACCTCGTCCCTCAACTCGGCATCAGAGATATTCCGCAGGGACTCATTCTCAGCTTCCGAACATAGCAGGCTAAATTGCGGAACCAAATTATCCCCCTCTACCAAGAGGTTAACATCGGAAGGAAATTGGAGAATGCGAGCCGATCCCCCCGCGTGGACCACCGAATGAGTAATGCCTTCCTCAAACATCCTAACGTCATCAGGATCCAGGTCTGACTCAGATTCGTATTCGTCAATCATCACGCCTTTTCCCCTCTCTGCTGCTGAAGGAGGAGCACGACCCGCTGTGGAAGAAGAGGGCACATCCGAAGTCACAATAGCCGCACCAGAGGTCTGGTTCTCTACTCCGACGGGGTGTTGACCATCAGTAACAACGGGGACTTCTGGCTGAGCCGTTGCGGCAACCGTCGTCCCTAGGAACTCACCCCCGGCGCCAGTCTCGACGACTCGCCCCGCCCTTACAGGAGACACCGCAGCAACACTTCCACCCGAGCCCGTCGGGGGAGATTCGTCTAGGATAATCACTATCGGAGGCGCCATCTCAAACTCCACCCTTCGTCTCTTCGGCGATCCCTCCTCTTTCCCAGTCGATGGTGATTCATTCATAGGACGAACGGTACTGGACGGGACCTCGTCTTGAGAGGCAGCCCTTGCTGGAGTAACTAGGGCCGCAATCTCGACCGAAGTTGCCCTCGACGAAGGACGAGTAGCAGGCGCCGCAACAAGACGAGCGGTCGCAGCCGATTGACGCCAGGCTAATTGAGGGGCCCTGGTTCTCCGCACTCTCCCTGACAGCGACAAACGAGGTATAAAAGGTAAAACGAAAAACGAATAAAGAAAGAGAATAATAAAAAGGGACGTCATCTCACCTGTAAGGGGTCTACGTCCAAATCTCTCATGAAAAGTCGA